TCATCCCAGGATCCAAATTCCAAAAACAGGTTTAGGCCTATATTTAGTTTTAGGCCTAAAAAAGTAGTATACTTTTTGAAATAATCTATACTAATATAAAAAGGGAAACCAAGTCAACAAGTCTGCCGTCTCAACCGTTCAGCCATGCGGGCTTTGGGCCTCCACAAGACCACAAGAATAAAAAACACTTTAAATAATACAGGCTGGTGTTAGCCCACAAAATTGAAAACCCAAAGCAAATTGCTTGGAGGTTATTCCACGTGCCTGTCATATATAAACTATTTATGCCAACAAAGAGACACATATTAAAAAAAAGGATAAATATAAAAAATAAAAAAGTAATGCAGTAAACGAAAATCCAAAAAAATGCAGTAATATATACGACGGTTTTTAACAAAGCCGTTTGCCGCACAATACATCCATAAGTTAATCGACACGATGGTTAAATTCCACTACGAGTAACCACAATATTAAACATCGTTAAATACACAACGGAATAAATTCAATGCTTAGCATCGCTGCTTGCATGAAAACACTTTTATTTTACGGGAAAGTTCCCGAAATGGGACAAAAAACGTTTGAAAATTCCAAAATAAGATTGTCATGTTTTTATTTCCGAAATAGGAGTAATTACTGTCATGTTTGAAAAATACTGCCATGTTTAAAGTCTGGTACTGCCAAAATATGACAGCAACTAGTCCCATTTTGAGAATTAAAAACATGGCAGTCCTATTTTGGAATTTACAAACGTTTTTAGTCCTATTTAGGGTAAATTTTCTTATTTTATTTGTTCTCTTATGTTTAAACAGAAGCCTTTTAAACATGTATATTAGGATTGAACACGTCAAGGACAGATTGGGAATTACGAGTGCGGTTAGTTCGATGCTATGCCCACCCAAATTTCAACCACAAGCACGACACTGCTCCAAAACGTTTGGAATGCATTTTTCACGATTGTGAGGTAATTCAAAATGACTACTTTCATATATACATTTTTTCGTTTCATCAATACAATCTACTACAATTTTTTATGTTTCTATGAAAAGGGGACACCTGACAATTCAACAATCACGAGTTACCAATCGCAAAGGCCTCAAAATTTTGATAAGCAACATTGATGGTACACCATGCAATTCAACAATCAATGTAGTATATCCAGAGATTTTCCAAAATGTGTAGTTAAACACTCTATTGTAACTTTGTTTGTAGGTGTAATGTATGTAGGACATATATATGTACATGTTTTTGTATAACTAATGCCATGAGCCTTGAAGACATATATGTGCATGCTTTTAAATGCATATAAATGTGTTTTATTTAGATTGTTTTTGTATTTGTTTTCATTGCATGAAAAAAACTTACACGGATAATTATGTAAAAATTATTGTCCCGTGCATCACACGGGTACAATACTAGTTACATAAATATGACCAAAATAAAGATGATTTACAAAAATATGACTAGTGACTAGAGTAGTAATAAAATTATAGCAATTCATAATCAAGTTTTGAGCTCAAGTTATCACAACACCACATTGTAGTAATGAATAGTCATATTTATGTAAATATGTTTTCTTTTAGAAATATTCTTGTAAAAAACCATACTTTTTAGCATTATTTATATGATATATAATATTTAGTATACACAATTTAGCATATATACTTATTATTCTTATATATAAAAAGTTATAATTCATTAATAATGTTACGGATTGGGTAACGGTGCGGGTACCCGCACCATTAGTGAACGGGGCGGTTTCGGGGCGGATAACGGGGCGGATTAGTATAGAATCATAACCGCACCATTAACCATTTAAAAAATTCGGGTATTCCCTGCCCCGTCCCCATTCCCCAGTCAACCTGGTTTTCCCCAGTTTGACCGAATCGGTTCAGTGCGGGTATCCAATGGGTCGGCCGAAATTGCCATCTCTAGATATGGTACTCACGGATCGGAAGATCAAATTTCAGATTTTCAAGGAACTGATGGCATCTCTGTGGAGACCAGTCAAAGGTGTGTCTGATGTGAGTTTTCTCGCACTTAAAAAGATTGTAATATAGTGGTGTAAGTACGAGTATCGTCTCCACAGGGACGGACAAAAGGGAATCAAGAATTAATTAAATTCAGCGATTAAAAAGAAATAAAATAAATGCGTCATGCGAGATTGGTTGGTTTGGAAAATAAAACTAATGCGAACAATTAAACTAGGGGGTTCTTTCTAATTAATGACGAAGGGAACAGGGATCAATTCCGGGGTAACCAGATTTCTGGCAGATCAGGCCTAATTACATGAAATTAATTTAATTGAGCCTAGCTAATCATTACTAAGTTCTTACCGCTCTCGCGGCGTAGAGTACAATAATTTAGGGGACCAGGCTGATCTCTCATGCGACAGGATCCTAAATTATTGCCAAGACTAGCGAGCTTACGGCCCCTTAATCGCTACTAATCTCTTAGCGAACGATTAAGTGTGTGTGAATGTGTCCTAGAACAAATTAGATCTCTCTTAATTTATTCTACATGCAATTGTAATTCTAGTCGCGATTCTAGGTTACAAAAGATATCAATTAAATTATTCAAACACAAATTAAACGGCATTCATGCAATTAAACCGAAAAGAATCTAGCCATACATCATGATTAACCCCTTCATCAATCCCAAATCCCTAATTAAAACTACTCACAATTCATAATTGAAGAATCAATAGAATTGGAATAAAAAGAATTAATTGTCATTAATTAAAAAGGTGGAACTTACAAAGAATTCCAAAAGATTGATGAATAAGGCTGAAAAGCCCTCTAAAATTCGTGCTAGGCACTCTCTCTAAGCTCCCCCCTCGAAAACGGGGTTTACAGGCTGTTTAAATAGGGAAAACGGAGCAATTCGGGCGAAATTAGGATTCCAGGGGCAACGCACGGGACCAATGCACGGCGTGCGTCCCCAGTGCGTCCAGAGCATGTATCACGCAAATATTAACCACGCACGGCGTGCGTACCCCCACGCACGGCCGTTCGTGGCTGGCAGTAGCTGCCTTGCTTTCTCGCCTCGGACGCACGGTCGTGCGTTCCTCTACGCACGGCGTGCGTCAAACTTCCGAATTTGACAAAACTCTCTTCATGAAAGTTGTAGATAATGAAGTCCTCTATCCACCCCAATTTGCCAAATGTGATTTGAATCATCCAATCAAGAGATATGATCAAAACGGTGGAAGGTATCATTCTGAAATCGCATCAGAGATCATCTGACTTCATCGTCTGTTTTCTCCTTCTTGCTCTCATATTTTCATAATGGTGTCTTCATATGATTTGTATCCCTTGAAGTTGGATTTCATATAAAACTTGAATCGTGTCCATTGGTTGTTCCTACAAAGAGATATGCTTGAACGATTGACCAAAGGTCATCCTGATCGTCGTTTTCAAGCTTCATTCATCTTCTTTTGATCCCGAAGCCAATCCTAGAGCTCTTTTTCCTTCAAATCTTCATCGTGAACCTTCCGGTGACCTCCAAAGCTCTCAAATCACTCTTTAATGCTTCTCGAATCATCCCGATTTCTTCTCAAGTGCCGGTACCGGGCTCAAATTCCCTGTTTTTGACTACAAACAACACAAAACTCGAACCAACGCCCGGTAAACATAACTTGGGCTAAAATTGAGACTTGCAACACCTTAAAGCTGGGAAAACCATCAAAAGCTGATCTCAACACGCATCAAATGCGTTTCTAAATACAGACTTATCGGTGTCCATTAAAGAAATTGGCGAAAAGAGGTACATTTTTACTTTTACCATAATTTGGATATGAGAGGTGTACTAGATGAAGGTGTTTGGTTGTTCGAGAAAAACTTGTTGATCCTAAAATAAATCAAGGCGGAGGATATTCCTCTACAGATCAGCCTAAATGAGGTTGAATTTTGGGGCCAGGTTCATAATGTGGCGTATGGTTTTATTAATTTAGCATATGCTAGGAGAATTGGTAACTATGTTGGAAATTTTATTAGTTTTGATGAAAACCAGTTTGATGAAAAAATGGGAGGCCTATATGCGCATTAGGGTTCATATAGATATTAGTAGACCCCTGAAAAAGGAACAACGTTGAAAAAAGGGGGTATTAGCCAATGGGTGGATTTCAAGTATGAAAAACTCCCTAATTTCTGTTTTATCTACGGAATCATTGGGCATTCAGATAAATTTTGTCCTGTAGGGTATGAGGGGGATAACATCACTTTTGATAAAACTTATGGAGTTGATCTTAGAGCTGGTGGTGGGGTGAAGATTAGTCCAACAGGAGGAAACAAATGGCTGGTTGAAGGGTCTTCCAGTACTGGTATGAGTGTATCGCAGAGGAGTGATAGTCAGGACACAGGAGAGCAGGACTGGAAGGAGGCTACTATTGGGACTGAACTAGCTCCATCAAGGAAGGAAATTCGGTGAGTCCAGAAGAAATGCCAGAAGAGCAGAAGCGCAGAAGAATCTGGGAGAAAAAGGAGCGGGAGAATCCGACAGGAGAGGGGATGTCGCTTGACAAGCAAAAAAACGGGAAGGAGGCGGGTCTAGACCAATAGATTTGCTGGATTGCTTGAAGATGTTGGATGGATCGTTTGATTGGCTTCTGGCGGAGCATTTGAAGTTAAAGAAGAATTTTTATATTTCGGCTTATTTAGTTGTTTTATTTAATCAGACCGTTTACTGTTTTGTTGTTTTGATTTTTGATTGTAAGACGGTTGGATTAATATTGGGTGATGGTAGGTCTACTTCAATCGACTTTGACTTAGGTTTACCCATTATAGGATCAACGAGTTATATTGCTTGTTTGAAGGTGATTAACTCTAAGTCTGGTTCGATGGCTGATGGTTGTCTGTGGTTCCTATATCGTTCTAACCCTTTTCAAATGGTAATGTTGTGATATCAATGTAAGCCCTCCTCTTCAAAAAAAAAAAAACTAGGCCCAAGGAAATTGCTTGGACTGAGACATAGTCCTCATGCTATGACACTGTTTTTTTAATGAGACTTTTTGTAAATTTTGAGTTGTGTGTTCAACTTGTTTGTTGGCAGGCAGTTATCCGAAGTAGTGCAACTAGATTTATAGCAAATCGCTCTGTTGAATTTGGGGTCCCTAATATCGTCTTGACGAAAGATATTGAGGCATCAATCACTTTTGGTTACATGTCCTAAAAAATCATCTCAGAAAAATGAACCATGGGTCAAAGTTTCTCTGAGTAAGCTTGTTTCTTCAATTGCTTATAGTGTTTGTTTGGAGAGGGAAACCGTTGATGATCGACGCATGCTGTCTGAGCTCCTCTATGGCTACTGTGCTCCAAGGCTCTATTGATATCAGTTTCTCTTTGCATTAACTTACGGAGCCCCACGAAATTACAAAAAATTGTCAGAAACTTAAACACAATGATTTCTGTGGATCCATAATGACTAGACCAAAACCTCTTCAAGAGATACAATGCAAGTGACAAACAACAAAAAGAAATTGTGTGTGGGGGACCAAACCTTACCCAATTTAAATCCATGAAGTAGGCCGTCTAGCTGATAAAGCTAGATCATTTGGACTGGACCAAATCACCAACTAGGCCATTCTGGAATTAGAATCAATTAACCTGAAAGTTCACAAGCTCGAATCACCCACCGTGTTGCAAAGAGGTTCGTCTTCAACTCATTTCCAACGGCGAAGAAGCATCAACCGGAAAGTGAATTCCAAAGACCATCTTCTCATTGTCGTTTCTCATAATCGCACCACCGATCGCCTGATCATCAATATTTATTGAGCTTTAAAACTCCTTTCAGTTTATTCCTTTTATCAGTTGGAATTTCTTACCTGGAAGACAAAAACCCTTTGGAATCAAATTTCTTCAAATAGCATCTCACCAATCGATGAGATTTTTAAGTTATCTATCCATTGTTGAATATAAAACTTGATCTGCTTTATCTGATACGTAGATGTAGTTGGACAGTCCTTCACCCCATAGGACATTAGTATATACTTTCCAAATATTCCAACAACAAATAATCCCAGGGAGTACGGACGACTGAGTAAGTAATGACAACCCAATTAAATTTGTATTCCTAACAACAAAATGCTATCATACATTCATACCATATTATTCATATGCACGGCCTCTATAAAATACTCCATAAGTATCAGTGAACATCAAAACAATTTATTTCTTTTTGAAATCAAACTTGTTTTTTTGACTTTTTCATCCAAATTGTTGTTTAGTTACTCTTTTAAATTTCAAACAGACAATTTTCTTTATTTTATATTAATTGTAATCAACATAACTTTTACCACAATCACTAACAAAAAACAGCAACTATACAATAACATCCTTGCATGACTTTGACCTTCATAACAGCAATTTCCATTAAGCTAATTTACCAAACAATTATCATACAAATAGCCAACAGTCATTCAAAGTAGCTAATTCAACGAGTTATTGTTTAAATATTAACACAACCAACTAATAGATAACATGTGATGCTAAACAAGGACACAATCTTATTGATTCTATTTTGAGTCATTTCGAATACGGAGTAGCTAGAAAACTACCCTTATTTTACTACAAATCTAGGGGTGGACATCGGTTTTCGATTCGGATTTTATCGATTTTGGTTCGGTTTGGAACGAATTGGAGGAATTATTACCAAACAAAAACCACTATTTTTTTTATTTGGTTTTGCTTTTTTATTTTTGAATAATAATCCCTCCATCCATTAAAGGTTTGCCAAGTTTGTTTGGCACGTAAAATAATAAAGTAAACATTGTGTCGTAGAAATTTGCGTAGGGAAGAGAGAAATAACAAAAGCCACAAATCGATTGATTAAAAGAGAAAATGACAAAGTTTTTGAGACAAAAAAGGAAAGTTGACAAAATGATAAGAGACGGAAAGTTGACTTTATATGTTGACAAAATGACTTTAGTTCAGTTTGGTTTTATTCGGTTTTTATCAGTTTCAATTCAAATTCAATAGGGTTTGCAAGAAATACAACCAAACTCAAACCAAATTGCATATGATTCAGTTTGATACGATTCAGTTTGATTAAATCTAACTGTTAATGCCCACCCCTACTCTAATTCTAGTTCTAGCTAACACCTGAACTGGTAAAATGAGTTATTGAGGGAATAAAAAAGGAGAGGTTTTATGAAAATACATATGACTCCCTTATGGAGTCATCATCATAACTGCACAATTATTTAATGGAGAGTTCCACTAAATAATACTACGTACTATCCTCGTTTTCTAATATTTGCAATAGTTTGAATTTCACGTTTGTCAATGCTCAACTTTAATTATTTTTAATTACACATTAATCAATATTATAAAAGGTTACATAACATTTTGAAAATTCACGCTAATATAAATTTAATAAAATTTTATACATAATAATTTGATTGTATATATTACTTCCTCCGTCCCAAAATTAACTTCTCACTTTCCTTTTCAGGCAGTCCCGAAATTAACTTCACACCTCAAAACTTTCCTTATTTGACAAATAATCTACATAAAAAAAGTGTCAAACAGTGCCAAACAATGTCCAAACAGTGTCAAACAGTGTTTAAACAGTGTAAAACAACGCACTCCACAATAAAGTCAAATTTATTTTACTGATAAGTTCATTATGGAACATAGGGAGTAATAGAAATTTAATAACATACGGAGTAGTATACATAATGATTTAATAATTCAATTATATTGTAACAAAAAAAAATTCAATTATATATTAAAAATCACTCTGGCATCTTTTAACTTTGTAAGAAATTGAAGTACTCAGGGTATGTGTTTCCATGAAATTTTTGATGAAAAGGAAGCACTCCCGAGAACTCATCATACTCATCACCCCCAACCCTACGTCACCGGAAGCAGCGCATCGGCGACGACCAATGGCTATCAGATCAAGTGGTCGTAAAATATCCTTCAATATTCTCACAGCCTCAGCCAACGGAGACGGCGACGACATTGAATGGCTCTCAACTGCAGCCGCTGCTCTTCACCGATCCAAGTCCGATCCTCCCGACCCCCGCCAAAAGCCCCACAAGAAGAAGAAAAAGAAGAAAAACCAGAGTAAGGTGATTGAACATTCGCCGGTTTCTGAAAGTCTCATTTGCTGTGATGTAGCGGCCCAACGGGATGAAAGTAATTTCACTATTAGCTCGGTAATTGGGACGCAGCATAGCGAACTGCGGCAGAGGAATGCGGTTTTGAGTGGAGCGAAAGAAGAGGGAGTGACGTCGTTTCCCCTTAACAAGGAAACCGAGAGGAATGGAGATGGAAAGAGCGAGGCTGAGAAAGTGGAACGTAATGCAAGGGGGGAAATGGTGAATGGAGGGGATGTGATTATGGGGCGTAATTTGGAAAAAGAGGTCTCTCTGGACTGGAAGAGGTTGATGGCTGAGGATCAAAACAGTAAGTATACTTAATTGGCTTACATTTTGAGCCTCTTTAAATCCCTCTACTAATTGGCTGCTGTTTGCAATTACTTCTGAGTTGCTGCTTTTTTTTTGTAGAGGAAATTATCTGGGTAGTGTGTTTTAAATGTACTTGTGTTGTGTTTAGACAAAATTTATTCGCGGGCCTTAAGTGTTCCATGTGCATATTAGACCAATCGAAAGAACTCATTTTTAGTATAGCCTACCGGGTAGCAATATCAATACTAGCACTCTATGATATTAGAATTCAGAATCATTTTGATCATATGCTCCACATTCAAATGAAAGGGAGATCTAATCAAGATACTTGGAAAGTAAGAATTTTAGAATTTTCCGAATGTAATAACATCGGTACACTCATAAGTAATTTTCCATTCCTTTTTGTTTGCATGATAATGCATTGCTTATTTGTAAAGAATAGTTATCTTACTTCTGTTCTGAACAAGTAACACCATCTTCTCTTACTTTATATATCAATTTTTTTTTATCAAATTTGATTCTGGTTTTTGCGACTTTGTAAAGCTTTTAATGTAGTTTTTGAATATGTAATTTTTTCTCTAAAAATAATATGAGTGCTGACAGGGATCCGTTTGATTTATTGTCGGTCAAGATCGTAAACCACAATGGGACAATAATAGGGGGATGGAGGTAGTTCTATCCAAATATTTTAATATTTTATGAAGTAGAGTTGTGGACACAGATGAGAAGAAACATTTTTCTTACTCACCTAACTAGTAGATTCCAAATAACAGAAGATCTCAAGTTTACTTATCAAAGAAGAAGAACTAAATGTTGAAGGTAATACCCATAGAATGCCCCTGGGCCCAGGTGGTGGCCTGAATTTATAAGCCTGCTGCGTTATTGATTCAGCAAGCCCTTGCTAATTGCTAAGCAATTTTGACATAATTACGCTACATTAGACAGTTTACATCCATATGACCATACTAGTCCTGAAACTGGTCCTGCATCCTTGTAGTTTCCCCAATGGTTGTTGGGTTGCTCTCCTCAAAGGCTTGCAAAACATGTTTTTTAACTACTACTTACAACTCAGGAATATCATGTATAGGTTAGTAGTTGCCTGATACTCAAAAGAAAGGACTCAAAGGAGTAATTGTCTAACTTCAGGGTATCCATAGATGGCACACCCAGTACAATATGGTCCTTGGCCCTCCATTTCTTCCACATGTTTCTGCTTTCATCATGATTACTACAAGCAGCGTTGAGGTTCCCTAATAAAACATTCTTTGGATGTTGTCACTGGTATATGTTAGACTGTGTATATTAACCCTGAGAGGATCATCTGCTAATTTTAGTCACTTGTAAGACAGTGTTGGAAAGAGAAGTCTCACTGATATCTCCATATCCACTGCACATGGTTTCATTTTTGTACTTGGGTTGGTCCAAAAGTGAAAGAAAAAAATAAATTATGAGTAAAGTGAAGGTTAATAATTTGCTTTAGAATATGCATTTAGCTTTATAGATTGTTTTCCTCATTGCTTTCATGCAGATGAGTTTCATGTGGAGAAGTCACCAGTGAAGTTTTTAGTGGAAGAGATGTATGCTGGAAATTCTTTAAAAAGCACAGTGTGCCTCGGTAATGAGAAAGAACGAGAGAGAGTGTATGACACGATAATCCACCTACCTTGGAGGTGTGAACTGGTATGATGCAAGTTGAATGGTCCTATTGGACAACTGAATATGGAGATCTGCCTTATAAAAATCAGTCCTTCCATCATGTCTCATTAGCCCCACTTTATCTTCCTTTGTCTGTTTGTCTGACAAATATGTCCATTTTCCTTTTTTTCAACTCCACTAACTTTCTTCTTCCTTATCCAATTTACCCTGTTATGATTGGCATGTTGATTTACTTGCAAAACTATTTATAAAACTTACCTTCTTTAATTTTCACGCAAAAAGAAGTTGGGACATATATTTTTGGACGAATGGAGTATCATAGTTTCTGTAATGGTTTAAGTTGTTTGCCCTAAATTATCAAGGTGGAACTTAGGTAATATCTTTCTTGCATGCAACTTATAGCCTGCACACTCTGATCGTCCTTTCCCATGCTCTTTAGATATAGCTTCTCAATTTCCTATTTGTGGTACATGACATCAACATCACTTTGCAGCTTATTAATGTGGGATTTTTTGTCTGCTTGGATTCATTTCTCTCATTGCTAACTATTATGCCAACAAGGATCATCACAACCTTCTGCAAGTTTTTGAAAACTTGGTCAGGCTATTCTCTTTGTTTGATTCTCCATACTGCAAATTGCAATAATCATGTTCCTATCACTTTTCAGCAAGAATCTGTTCAACAAAATTTTCTGGGTGGAAAAACTTTCTTCTCTAGCATCGATGATAAAATGAAGATAACTTATGATCTGTGTGTTTTTATTGCACTCGCTCCTTTTTCGTAGATTTATTTAACTATGTTAAGCATGAAAACGAACTTTGTTCCATAGTTTAGTTCAAGGTGCCCATGCTATTTTAGTCTAGTCTGTTTTGTGAAGCTTAAAAAGGGTGTCTAAGGAAGAAAT